ACTTTTTTTTAAGATAAAATAATAATAATATTTCATTGTGGCCACCATGACAACCAAAACTTTCCATCTCGATCGCGACAAAATGCACCTTGTTCTTTTGTGTTTTTTTTTTCATTTTTATTCCCTACAGACACTTCCTCTATTAGAAAAAAATAACTAACAAGACATTATAAACAACATCCCGCATTCAATTTCTCCGTCACAAAACACCGTCTGCCGCTATTTGCCGCCGCCGACTCCTTCGACGCCAGCTGCTACCGTTAGGTTATAGTCCTTATTTAGTAGTAGTAGTATTGGTCTTACTACTACTACTACTATTACTACTACTACAACCCCACCATTACCACACAGCACCACGGTGTTTGTACACGGACAACAATTTTTTTGTTTAACTCCATACATACATATGCCGTTGTATATATATATATGTATAAATAATAATACCAAGGATGTTATTACTCTCTAAGGTTCAATAACCAACCCGTAGCACGTGGTTATCTTATCACGTGCATTGATCCAAGGCCAAGGAAATTAATACCCTTGACACCATAGCCAACGGCTGTCGTCTTCTCTGGGGGCAAGACGTTCGCGTCCATCCTCAACAACATTATGCAATGTGTGTGTGTATTTATAATTGTATATATATATACGAGGCGACCGTGGCCATGGCAGACAGGGAGAATGACCCCGATTAAATGTTAAGAAGAACTGTTGCACGGCGCATACAGGTGCACAAGTCGGGTACAGTGTTTTTTTATTCTTTTATGACCATACATCCGTACGCAGGTAAAGTTTTAAATTGCCGCCAGATGATAACTCAGAAGAGCATCGTGTACAGCGCAATGTTACATAATTACTATATTTTGTATTTTTTTAATTATATTGTCTCTATTTAAGTCTCGTAGGCGCACACAGCGTGTCGTTACCGCCGAGACGGTTCACCGAAAAACAAATGAGCCAACAAGTAGGTACCGCTGTTTTTTTTTATATAGATTTTCCAATTATTATTCAATTGACTGGGGTAATTGAGTTTTTACACGTGAACGATCACTCCGACCGGGCACGTGGTCTCGGTTTTATAATATTGTTATGCAAAACAAGGTGCGCCGAAACACCATACCAAAAGTGTTATCGCAAGAGAACGGAGTTGGGTAAAATCAGAAATATAAGAGGTAGTCTGGGAAATTGGACCGATAGCACGAAACACCGATAGAGAACATGTAGAAATGGTTTGAACGGACTGAACAAAGAAAGGAAGAACCATGTCATTGGTTGGAGGTAAATAACCCGACCAGTCCGGGAGTCAGAGGGGCACTGCCAGAGAAGGTAAGTCCTAACGCCTGTCTAAAGCCCGCGAGTAGTGCAAAAGCATAGTCTATCCTACCTGTGCCTTAGGAATAGAAGGATTTAGAAGGATAATAATATATAGAATAGGTAGAGAAGTGGTGAGACGTCGAGAAAGACGGGAAGAGCTAGGATTAGGGCGTCTCCACTTGTAATTTTAAATCTAATTTTCGAGTGAATGCAAGTGCTATAACTAAACACTATACGGCCACGGAGTCCCCTGTTTATACCTACTGTCAACAACAAAATAATATTACTCTAATTATTATTATTAACTGGTATGTGTATTTTTTTTAAATATTGGTCTTTACTCGAGTAGTTGAAATAAAACATTGAAAAACTCTTATTGGAGATCCATCGGTGGATATTGATTAAAATATGGGCATTTTTCTGAGTAGCCCGACCAATCGACTAAAATTTTCTGAACTTTCCAAGTTTTCCAAAATGTCTCCGTGTATTCCTGCTAGATTCGTGTAATCCAATCGCAACCGTGGAATTAAAATTATTAAGTACACTTGTAAAATATTAGTATCACTATGCAAGTTAACCGAAACAACGTTACTGCGCAGTTATACACCTATTACGTTGTACACGGTTATAGAGGACGTACTCGAGTGCACTGCACGTGTCCTGCGGCGTCATACTTGACAAAGTGTCGAATAACAACACATTAAAATAAAACCGAAAATGAGTGCATACAAATTAGGATTCGTTGTTTTCCCAATACACCTAATAAACGTACGACAGACAATGGGCGCATTTCACGAGCATAATATTATACATTTTTGTCGACTTTATTATTACCGGAGATTGTAACCCTACAGACCTATTTGCATATACGCATTGCACAAGTACCTATGGAGACAAGGGACATCCATCGAATGTATGCATGCATACAGAACGAACCACGGAAATAATAATAATAATAATAACTACACTACAACCAACACGACGAAATACGTGTCGTTATCGCTGAAAGGATAAACTCTCCAATAACCGAACTAAAGTCACACTTGGAAATGTCTCTCTCGACACATAATAATAATATTTTGTAACGCGTAGATACACGTCATATCAAAATCAAACAGCTCAAGTTTTAACGATAACACAATGTAATCCATCGAGCGAAAACAATATACCTACAGACAACTGCACGCGACTGCCAGTATAATAATAATATATATATATATATATATATATGTATAAAAACAATAATACCAAACCACCATTGGATTTGGCCAAATATGATTTTTAACCATCAGTCTTTGGCCTGCCCGTATGAGTAATGGTCCGGAATTGAACGCACGCATTGGCAAATTGTATATAGATATACCTAACTGTAAAATACTCGATGGAAGGTCAGGTTCACTTATTATTACAATATCACATTCGTGCATAACGCAGAAACCACACGTTAATATATTGTTTTCCACTATAATTTTGACATAGATAGACACATGCTGTATCTGTAAGATATCCGAGTTCAAACGAGAAAAGGGCTGTAAAATTAATAATACTTTACTACACTATTACAAAATTTCGCCGGCTTTTCGATCTACCCAAACCGAACTTGGCACAGACTGCGAATCAAAAGTTCGGTCGTGCACGTTGAGGACAGATGCAAAGGTATATATTCCCCGCGAGGCCACTCCCTTATTAAATATATCTATATAGTTATTTACCGGCTTTATAAATCCCTACGCTGTTTACCGAATCAAAACAACCCACAGTGCGATGGTACGGGAGCGGCAAAGGGGGGCACAGGAGGGAGAAGCGAAAATACTAGAACATAATAGGGAGGATGCACGGGGCGCGTGCTAAACACACACACACACAGGGCAAACCTCGCCTATATATATATATATATATGTCTACTTTTAAATAAAATAAAAAAAATTGCTTTCTCTCTCTTTCTCATCCGTTCGTATTGGTACATTATTGTTCGGGCCTATCAAGTATAATATGAACTGGTGATAGGTTCTGTACAACAGTCACATATATATATACCTGTGTATGTGCACTCACAATACACATTTCGTCGCATATACCTATACATTAAAGTATATATATAAATATAAATGTTTATACGTACAATATGCGCAGAGCAGCTGCGAAAAACAGCCACTCCCCCCTCCCACCGGGTCACCATCGTCCACAGTGTGTGTGTAGCTTTTATATGTATGTAGACAGTGCAAAAAAATAGAAATCATTTCACCTATATACACCTAACGTAAAGCCCCAAGAGTGTAAAAAAAAGTGTCAAAAAAAAATTAATTATTTTTAAATACTATTACAAGAAATGTGAATAAAAAAGCCGTCCGCCCCACCAAGGCTGCAAAATTTCAAACATAAATATTTCAAAAATACAGTGAAAACGTTTTAAAAATATTTGTTTGTCCATAAACAGTCAAAAACATAATATTCCATTAAACGTGTATTTATTTTGTATTGCCAAAGCGGTTAGATAGCAAATTATGCGTAACGATAGCGACCACCGTTAAAGTCTCCGCGTTTTCATAAAAACTAAAATATCCGCAAAGCAAATTATTTTGATTAGCTTAAAACCGTTTTGGAAACGCAACCGACGTTTGTTGGATTCAGACACAGTATACACGTGCCCAAGAGGTTAATACACCAACGGTGTGTGCATATTGTTAACACAATGAACATCATCAATATGCATTGACCGGTATAATAAAATTAGTAAAACAATTTTAATTTTATTTAAAAAAAAAAAAATGTCCACATGATGCGTGTAGTAGTTAGTTGTAGGTGCAAACAATTATTATTACATTGTCGTGCGCTGCAAATATTTAACTCAGATAAAAGTTTGTTAAACCCGTCTTTATGTCGCAAGCATCGAAAACAATAAAAAAAAAAAAAAACAACTACCTTGAAACACAATGATAACGTACATAGCATGCGGTTACCAGCAAATCATATGACTGCTATTTTAAACAACAGTATATGCGAGTTCTGCACAGCATTTACTGTTTATTATATAAAACTTTTGCGACGACGTTGTGATTTATATGGTATTCTATATAAAATGTTACTCGCTATAGTATTGTTTCTCAGTCCCTGGCCAACCCTTCGTTCGAGACCTTGAACTATTACTATACAATAATCATACGTATATATACAACGACGAACGCGTTAATTTATTACTTATTTGAATATAGTCGACAATGCTCTTTATGCGGCCCAAAAACATGTAAATTAAGTACTCACATGATGCATAAACGGTCGATATTATACGGCGAGAAGCCTATACAACCGTGGAAAGTCAACCCGACCCCACCACTCCTCTCCAACACTCTTATACTAGGTTTTTTTAAAAACAATTTTCAGGTAAAACAAAAAAACAAAAATACTTTTTACAACACATAATATACGCCATAACCGAAAGTCAGCAAAAACCAACTGTTTAATTATATTTTCAGAAATGTTCACAGAACAAAAAAACTCCATTGAAAATGATTAAAAAAGAATTTCCGTTGACACGTTTATGTGTGTGGTTAGTGTTAACGTTTGTTACGGGTCGTCGGTCGGCTAACGAATTGTGTTTGTGGGTTTTCGGATGAGTGCGGAAATAACGCGATGTACCTCCTATTATGTAGTATTATCATTGTTCATAATTATTTCCAAGTACTTACCGATATAACAGAAAGAGATCAACGTCAGCATGTGCCGCCTGAGCATGGTGTCATTTCGCCTCTTCCACTTGATCTGTTCCATGATGTGATCGACGTAGTCGAAGCTGGTCACCGCCACGATTTTCCATTCCAATTTCGATATGACCAACAGTTCCCATTCCTGCGACCAAACAAACACACGAGTATTGAGTTCAAGTTCATATTATTATTGTGCAACATAAATCATATGGTTATTGTCCGGAAACAACAAGTATTGTTCACAAGTGTTCCGAGAGCACCAAATAATAATTACGGTCCAAATTGTATATAATACAGTATATGTTACATAGGTAATTGTTTCCAAAAAAAAAAAAATGGAAAATTACTAAAATACTCGTACGTTATTATTGTCAAACGTTGTGTGTGGGTCACGAAAATTTGACTTATTTATAGCACAAACTCATACTGTATACAATTGCATTTTGTTACACTAGCTTTTGCTACAGGTTACTAGGTGGTAGCCTACACAAGCCGAGTTCAACCGCTATGTTCAGGCCGACTCCTCATTAAGGATAAGACGATAATTTTCTCTTAAGATGACTGCAATTTTAAAGGGTTTTTCGTTTTAGAGACACTTTAGTTTATGTCAATTTGCAATATTTAACAATATTCAATTTTATTCTTCTTAATTTTTTTCCGGAGCTCTATCGACTTTTAAAACTTAAACGTTAAACGTATATATTTAATTATCTTTTTCAATTGTCTAGTAAAGAAATACACACAGTTGTTAAAGCGAACACTCTTGTTGTAATTGAAAGGGGGTTAGGGAAATGTAAGTTGTTACTCTCCAATATTGCTACACCCCCTTTAACTCTCAAGTCCGAGAGTAACGTTTTTCAGTTTAAACCAGCAACGGACTTGTCTAGACGACGGTTATTTTCAAAAGGATATTCTTACCCGGGGGAGGGGGGGGTGAGTATGTTGCGAAACAGTTGTACAAAAGGCCACGTTAAAACAAAGCGACACGCAAATTATTTACAATGACAACAATAAAAATATTTAAAAAAAAAAAACACTGTATCGTCGAACGCGAAACGCGTTTGTTTATTATTATAAAACGCGGTTGGTCGTTTTTGCTTCTAAGACGCCTTTATTTTTTTTTAACGAGCCGATAAAAAAATTACAAGTACAGTGTTACGAGAACTGTATGCACGTTATGCATAACACAAAAAGGGGTGGCGAAAGCGAGGGGAAAAAATGTCACTAGAATGTTTTGCGACAAAGGGCAATTTTGTGACTCGGTCCATGACGAAATTCGAAACACATGTAAGTGTGCACATTTTTTTTTTGCGAACACAGGGTGGTTGGTTTATCCAATTGATGTCGTAAGATGTTAGAACTTTTTAAAATTATTATAATTTTTATAATTCTATAGTTCGTTCAATTTTGATGTATTTTTGAAAAATAAAACCCCATCAACCTCTAATGTGTGTTGAACGTCTGAAGAACTTGAGCGTTTAAAACGTCTAACGTACATAGATTTTATTAACTTTTTTCAAATTAAGAATAACAATTTGCTAAAAACGTTGCTTCAGCTTGGCAGTTTTGGACAATTACTGTTATTAAGTCATCATCCTGTACCTGTATACATAGGTAGTAGTAATGGAATTTTAAAATTGAGGTCGATTTGCAACTTGGGTAATGAGCCCACCAATACCACCACCGGGGTGTTTGTTTCTCAATCGGCTAACCCATTATAATAATAATCATAACGTATAACCGTCGAGGGCATTATAATATGAATCCTACGGGGTTTTATCGTCAAACAGCTTCTCTCCTCCAGCCGCCTTTCGGTTTCGTCACACGGACTGCGGCAGTCAGGTTCTCTCCGTCGTACTATTATTATTATGTTGTATGTATGTAGTTATTATTATTATACAAACACATACATACACGCACGTAAAGGTAGGTCAATAAAAGACGTCTGGGCTTTTTTTTTTAAACGTTTTTATTGCTCGTTCCTTTGCGAAATTCCAACAGACGGCTGCTGCCCACCGCCACCTCTATATATCCCGGTCATATATTGTTACCCGCTGCAAGAGCACACACACACGACTTCATAACGTTCATAATAATACGGTATAAGTAAGTATATACATAGAGGAGTTTCGAAATCATCTCACGTCTGGTTCCGGTAGCGGATGCAGGAACCTGTTCCCGGCGACGGCGGGTCAGCAAACGGCGACGACAACAATGATAATTATTAAATAAAAGAACGACAATAATAGTCCTTAAGTAAGTGCCCCGCATGTCTACAGGTCTCCGCCGCCGTCATTATGAGTGGCGTTTCCAGTGTATATATTATTAAACTACTTAGCACCTAGCCAGCACAGAGGAGAATACCTAGCAAACACCTTCGGTTTAAAAAAGAAAAAAATACCAACAACTAATCGAGCATCGACAGCGGAATAACACTTGGAGCGAATGAGGGGGGGGGGGACACGTTAAGCTGAAGCAATATAATATTTTTGTGTTAGTTAAAATGTTCAACCGTTTTTAATACTAAGTACACGACATGAGGGGGGGGGTGGGGCTGCAGTTAATTATTATTATATTTTTACTCACATTACTGCAGCCAAAAAAGACTATACAAACATATAGTCATGCATGTGTATTTAATAAACGCATAATGAATATTGTTACTGTTTTGTATTGCACGAATTTGTTCGCAGTTATCTGGAAATAGTCTTATAAACAAAAAATGCAATGCACCAGATATAATATTATGTCGACCAAGTAGGGCAACTACAACTAAACGAGGCAAACTTGTCTAAAGAAATAATACATTTAAACAAAAAAAAAAATGATTTTACATCGTGTTTAAAAACATACAATTTAAACGAAACATTCGTGTTTAGTTCTTTGTAAAAATCGTTCACTCGTCTCGCATTTAGTTGCAGCTAACCTACTTTACTCTGTATAATTTACCCCTAACGCCCTCCTTCCCCCGCGGTCTAAATAGAAAATTATTTAATTTTGTAATATGTTAAAATTTGTGGGTTTTCTTGCAACCCTGCCAATGCGCATTTTAGGACGGAGTAGACTGCTTTCCTCCTCCCCATTTTAAGCTTATATTTTAAATCGTGTACGCATTTATAACTACAGTACATTTTTTTATGTAATACCCTCTTCACCTTAGAATATTGAGATGAAGGGACGCTCTCCAGAGTCCTGTACTTTAGCTCCTACAAATATTACTATCAAAATTCTCGTCTGTTTTTTTTTTGTTTTATATTTTACAATGTAATTAACAGCGCTAAGACCGTTGCGTACAACGTATTGGATTGTTACTGTTGTTATGTTAAAACGGTTCACACACACACGGTTTTTTTTTTATTAGCATAATGCGCGATTATTGTACCTACACACGGTACACCACCGCCGGTTCTCATGCGAGCATTATAATGTTATTATTATATTATATTATATACACAATTATATCAATAGTGTTATTCAAACGTGAAACAATAAATGTGGACAAATTACAAGCTCGTTTAACAACGACAAGACGAAGAAGACACACGGCTGGCATGGGTGTCTCCGGCGTGACTGATAACCGTGGATAACCAAGGGTGGAAAATAATAAAAACAACAGCCTACGATCGGTCCCTGTGTGTGTGTAAGTGCACACACACACACACACACACACACACACACACACATAATATATAGGTCCAAACAATTATCGTTTTCGAAGCCACGAGTCCGTGAAAAATTGTAAACGTTATGTTTAAGTCGACCGACCTGTGGATTCGTCGTCGTCGTTCATCCTGTCTATTGTGCAACAACGATATATTGTGTGCGTGTCCCTTCCTTATTTTGAATACTATATTTTTGTACCTACCTACTTTTTTTTACTTTTAATTGCCCAAACACAAAAGTTACCGGACTACCGTGAGCTACGGCGGGACAAAAGATGTGAACATTTTCGAAAATTCAATTAGGAAGTCGTCGTCGCCTTTGTATAGTCGGCCTGTACATGTGGCAACGGTCGGGAAGCACAAGTTTGTCTATATTATGTAGTACGTATATTTTTCGCACCGATATATCAGTATCATATTTTTGTATTCCCTTCACTCTAATTGACCTATTAACATAACAAACACGTGTGATAAACTGATTTCGACAGTTAATGCTTTAACGGGTCAAGTCAGGGCACAATTTCATGTTAAATCCTATTGAGTGAACAGTCGTTTATTCAAACAGCCGATTCCGCTGATAAAAATCTATATTGTTTCGAGGTATAAAAAGTAGTTAAAGCTAAACGATGTATACCTCTAATTTTTAAGGATCAGTAGGCATAATTTAAAATAAACAATTCTAAATGAAGTAATTAATTTATACAGTCAGTAATACAATTATTTATATACATAATATGAAAAAAAATATACTACTGAAAAAAAATGAGATAATTAATGTTTGTTCATTACTCATAACATACATTGTACGAGGTTATTGCACGGCTTAAAAAATAAAATTGTAAGTGTTGTTGTAAAAAACAATTTGCAAATACACTGGCTGTATACATAATATGATCCGTCGACCGTAAAAACACATGGGAAAACGTCGACCGAGCTGAGAAAATTGTTTTTTATATCATTCTCGGTTTATCGACTCCAATAAGTAGAGACGGCCAACGATAAACGGTGCGCGCGGTGTGTACATACATATTATTATTGTTATTTAATTCCCGTTTTTTTTTTCTTAGAAAAAGTTACAGTAGTAATACTTTCGGCGGAACTAATTGCCTATTACGGCAGCAGGGAACAAAAATGAAAGAGAATCGAGAGGAAATGCATCGCGTAACAGTTGTTCGACGGCTACCACGACAAGGGATAAACACATCCTTCTTACAGGGAAAAAAAAAAGATGATCCTAAACACATGTCTGGCAAACCATGACCCTGGCAAATAGCGTGTAGGATATACATATAATGTGTATAATAATAATAATATATCTATCGAGCCATTGTCGCTTGTCAACCCTGAAAAGAAAATATAAAAAACCTACGCGAGAATGACGGATGATGGTAGCCGCGAAGGAGTTAACACAATAGGGTGGGTTTTTTTTTTTTTTTTTGGAAATCGATACGGCGTGCATTTACATATTTTGGACGGACGAGGCAAAGAATCTGCCGGGCCAGACAGGATATTGTAATTAGCCGTAGAAATCGATTGAAAATATTTCAATGAGAAAATATATGTGGTGCTTGTGGGAAAAGAAGAAAAGGGTTGTTGTGTGCGCATCACAATGCCGTTACAATAGCTGCACCGATGAAAGACAACAAGCTTCCTTTTGCTTTTGCTCGAGTTCTAACTGGTACAGGAAGCTTCGGATGATCTCTTATTCGGTAACCTAAGTATACGTCTTGTTCTCATCGACAGCTATCGTCGGGGTCGTCAAACCCGGACAAACAACATTCAGACTCGACCATAACAATATATGCTGAGCACGTCCACGCTGTTTGTATTTTCAAACTTTGAGACAAATCACACCACCAGAGAACACTCATAAAATATATGATACACATCCGTTCCGCGCATTATTTGTTTTGGGGTTTAAACTTGGACGGACAAATCTAGGTCGTTCAACTCTTCTAATAATAATAATATATATTAATAGTCGATTCTGTAACGCGACACACACACTTGCCGTTAAGTGAACAGAGTGTAAGGTGTTTCTGAAAAGTAATCACCAAATATAAAATTGTATAAAAAAAAAATGATAAATTGTCGTCGTTTTAGACCGCGTTGAATGTGTCGCTTGAAAAATTAAAACTACAGCTGGTTACCAAGTCCCATATGTTTATTGCGTTGACGCTCACATACAGATAACAAACACACACGCTGACACATTGACACACACACACATATTATACATTTCTGTGTATTCGTGTGCTATGATGATGATATTACTATATGTGGCATTCGCTGAAAAAGGGGTGGGTCGAGGAGCGTGACAACTGACCTCAAAACGCGAATTATACACGCCTATATATGTGTATATTATATTTAATGCATCACGGTGTGACGTTTCGATTTTGTTTTGTTTTATTTATTAAATAGGATATGCGCCTTCAGCGAAAAAAAATGTGAATGCGTGCAAAAGTGCAGTATAGATTCTTTTCTTTAAGTAACAACACAGTTTGGCAAGTGCACGCGACCGGATCTAGAGAAACGAGAGAGGGGCCAATCGGGGCCAGACTAAGTAAAACGCAATTGTTTTCCAAATCCAGATCATTGTAATGACAATAGTGTGTTTAATAACGTAATTTTATAGTATTAGGGTGGATACACGATTAGGGTTGATCGTTTATCAATAATATAGTGAAAATATTTTTCGGGGATACCTGTTGATTCCCACACACACACACACACACACATGGCAACCTGAAAACGTACAACGGTCAAAGTGCTGCGTGTCACCGTGTCATTTTGCCTTTTTTTGGGGTCCTCGATAAACACAAAAAATTTGCAACAGATTTGTCATAAAATTTCGCTGGAAAAAGAAAAATTGCCTCCCCCCCTCATCTTATTGGGAAAAGTGCTAGTGATACTTTTACTCGGTTTAGCGATTGTACTTTATTATCTAAAAGGGATTGAAAACGGGGCGATTTTTAAGGAATTTTATTTAATAATATAATCGTGAAATCCTTTCACAACCGATCGCGGTCGAACTAAAACACACTGGAGTGGGCAGGTGGGGGTAAGGGAGGGTATTATTACGGGGAATCCGTCGACCGTCGAGTGTCTGTTCGAAAGAAAACACGTTTCTCGTTTCCACGAAACTTAACGACTATAAGCGAAACGTCTATTGGAAACCAGTCGGGTATTATAAAACGGGGTTGTTGCCGGCGCTGATTTATCGATACCGCTCTATACCTACGACCACGGCGAAATCGACGTGAGCCGTTGATCTCGCGGGTCGAACCTAGCCGAAAGGGTTATCCAGTGACACGGAACGAATCGCTACCGGTCGGATCCGTAAATTATCACCACTGATATTATAAAATATATAATTTATTACACATACACACACACACACACACACACACACGTTATGTACATTTAAATCTCATTAGACTAGGTCGTCGTTTTCCTTCGCTCCAGAAGAAGGGACGACGCCGGGTACTGTTTCTCGCCAGTCTGTGGAAACGTGAAACGGGTGAATAATAAAATATATTATTATATGTGATGAGTATAAGGTATGAGTAGAGTATACATCTATTCTACCGGGTAACGTTATTAGACACACACGTTGATCGGATCGACGCTTTTTGACCCCGGCAATGCATCATCACCGCGGCCGTTACTCGTAGAATACATAAATAGTCTTCTTTCATGATTCACGTCACAACAACCGGCCGACAATATTATGATATATATAGAAAATATAATAATAATATGATAATAGATATACACACGGAAACGAGTGATTTATACGGAATAGAATATTATAATATATTATATCAAATGCGCATTCTACGAGGACACCTTTGAGGAAAAGGTCAAAAACGGTTTTTTCAATGTAAAAAAAAGTCCCTTTATTTTTATTCGTTCAACCGTTAACGATCGGATTAAGCGATTCCAAAGAGTCTCCACGACGACAAGACAATGGCACGTAACAGACTTAGGCATAGAGATATAACACTTCTCTGGGTATTTGAGGATTTTTAAATAGAATTTTGAAAAAATACAACGGGTAGGGTACTACTATGCGTGCTAGCATAAGATATATCTATGATTAATGAGCTCTGGGAAAATGTCGCGGCGTGACGCAAACATTTCGGATTGATCCAAGACGTGATTTACAGGTTCTCCTCGCTGTTATCACGTGGCCAATAAACATTGCGAAACAACAAGGTCGGTCCCGAATGTGTTCCCTTCAAAATCCACCACCGACGACCGGTCTGTGATGTACAAACAAGTGTTATTTCGCTTCGATTCACACACACGAGGAAGTGTTCGCGGCAGCACATGTTTATCTAAGCACGCAGAGAACCCCGTGCGGGACATTTGACCGTCCGAATGAAAAGAATTAATAATAATACTTAAAAAAAATTATTTCTTCTGCCCCATTTGTTGTAAATCCCGAAACCGGACACGGCAACATTTCAAACTGGGTCTCGGGTGCGCGTTTCCATTGTGGGACTGCACAATATATATAATAATAATAAAATAATAATATATAATATCAAAAAATACCATTCGACACGCCCGTTGTAGCCGTCCCATAACATTATTGTAGCGAAACGTGTTTCCGATCGGCGACTTGTTCTCACGATACCCTTGCCGCGGATAGGGAGCCCCAAATACCGACGCGTCTATCACCTTTGCCGGACAAACATTATGCAAACGCTAAACAAAAGTTCCCAGTCCAACGGGTAGTCGCCTATGCTGGAAACGCAATCGTTTTGAAATGTCTACAAACGTCCGCCGTTCCTTAGGTAGTCGACGTTAACAAACAACAAAAGACGGCGGAGGTGCAAAAGATTATTAGATCCCTGTTGAATGTTGCAAGTCATCTACCGCAATGGTTTCTGGAAAGTCTTCTGAGTAATTCTGAACGCATACTAAAATAGTAGATCGGTCACCTTGTAGATCATAGAACTCTCTCTACTCGAAAATAGACATAAATGGACGTTTTACCAGTGGCAAAGGGCAAAATTTAAGTAAAATATTTTTTTTCCCCAATTGTCTCGCCGACTTTGAGACTCGCGACGTTTCTCACTTCACGTTTCTTCGCGTAGAGTTTGGATAGACACAATCCGGCCGTGACCACCGACGACCAAACCGGAACACGGACCGACGTCACGATAAATATGAAAGATGATAACAATAACAATAACAAAAACGATCCATATTATGAATATCGCGCGCCGCGACGCTTGTAATTGACGCGGTTTCCTACTTTTGTGTGCAGCTGCCTAATTAATAATAATATCATATACAATATTTGTGTTCGTCCTCCTCGAAGATAATGATCGCCGGATATTGCGGCGGCGGCGGCGACGTTACAACAGACGGGTAAAAAAATGTTAAAGAAACCGTCGACCGAGACGCGACGATTTCCTCTGCAGAGAGGACAAACCACCGTAATGGCCAACACACACAGTATTATGATTAGACGGCACGCGAACAAGCGTAAACGGTACTACAATAGCTGCTTCTTACCCTCATTTCTTCTGCGGTCACGCTGTTTTCCGTGTAGTAGCAAAGCAGTTCGATGGTCAGCGCCGTGCACTGTCGTACTTTGGACGCCAAAAGCAAACAAACGGCGCCGGTCAGCTGCAAATGGGTTTTGGATATGTCGCACGAGCACAGGAACCTGTCCAGGAAGTTCACCGACAACGGGAACACTTGGTCTTCGCAGTTTTGCTCTTCGCACACCTAAACATTTTTTTAAATAGAAAAAAAAAGAACATTAGTCCACATTTTAAACCAAAAGCTACAACACAACATGTTATCGTGGTCGCGGTCCACCGGCTCGTTCGTTCCGTATACGTTGTACCGTATATAATATACAGTGTACACGTTTTACGTGTCGTTCAACTCGAGGAAACCACTCGATATGTGTCGTTTTTTTTTGTGATGAGCCGATACAAGTCCGTTCCATCACATCGGCGTCGGTGGCACAGTAAACGTAATTACTATCGAGTGTGTGCGTGGAATGCATTGCGAGTTTACCGGGCAAACGACGTGTCAATGAACTAATTTAATCTACCTTTGATGTGTAACAATACGTGTACGAGTAATACAACATTACAGTGCGCGATACAAGGAATGAGCCGCGAGAACAAAACGCCATTAATACAAACCGCACTATTGGTACATATTTACATAATATCAAATAATTAGCATACTTCCATGTTCCATACGCGGAATGGCTCCTGTTTTAGGGATATACCGGTCTGAGGTTTAGGATTGCCCCCTTACCCCGTGTCCGTATTGAGGTTTCCAAGTGAAAATGAATCCAACAACACTCTACTCGGATGTCAATTACTCGACCAAAAAACCATTGAAATGTACACACTAAAGATTTTTGAAATGCAAGCTAAACACACACGCTATAGTGATTGGGAAAGTCCAGATTTGCCCCAAGTACGAAAATTCGAATTGTTGGAATTCGAAATCAGACATTTATTACAAGTCCGCGGATGTGGAAACTCTTATTTTAGATTTGTTTATGCATTTTTTAAAATAAAATCATTATAACTACAAATTTTTTTATAATAAATTTGATGTACTAATAATTAATGGGCTACGAATGTATTAAAACAAACAAATGCAATCAAAGAAAATGCCAAAACCATAACAAAATGTATACAATATAAACTCAATATATATATATATATATATATATATATATGTTGTATAAAATGAATAACAAAATCTATAAATATTAACATTAGTTAAATATGAATTATCGAGATGTAAACAAATAATATTTGAACATAGTAAGACGAACAGTAAACAGTAGAAAGTGCGTTATTTAAAAAGATAAACAAGCACTGTAAAATTAAATAATTTGAATTTTAAATTTCAAAATCCGATATCCGGTTTTTTCGGATTTGGAATCGGAAATCCGATTTTATGCTACTTTACTAACACACACACACCATACGTTATCTCATCTCGGTTCATTCACAAACGGTGTGGACATGTCATTTCAATAAACCTACAGATTAAAAGTGAATCTGCTCTCCAGATAGATGATACTGTGGGTCGCTTGAAACTTGTACGGGAGTTGTTTGTTGTGTGTAATATTTTCGGTCAATCGTAAGACCAATTTTTATTTGACGATTAACATTTAACAAAAGTTAATCATTTGCAGATCTCGACGAGCAAAAGTTGTACGGATCGGTTGGACGATAGTTTGGATGCGAAATCAACAAATTTTCACTTTTATATTTTTTTAACCTTGAGTACACCGACAACGTAAACAGAGTGCATTTTTGTGTGTAACACGACGGTCGTGAATATGGAACGCGTCGACACTTTGGGACGACAAACGCGATACAGTTTTACTGGTTATTATATTACACCGGCAATAAGACTTTCGATGTACATAAATGCATTTGTCCGTGCGTCACGTATTCTATAGAGGACTTCTAAATAAATATCGTTAATATGCAGTGCCGTATAATAATATATGCTCACGGTATGCCCATAATATGCACAGTCATGTAAAAAAACGCGCATTACAAACGTCAATAATTAGTGCACCGACTAGCACGGGTTAATGTGCGTGGTGCGTGATGTGACTATATGGGCCTAACCTCCGCCGAGTACTGTCGGATAATGTAATATTTATGTTTTTTTTTATATATATATTCACGGTCAAAAGTCGCGAGTACAAGGGTATTATAGTATGTAACGTTCGTGTGTAAATTGTATGTAAGTACAATATAATATATAGGTATAATATTATACGGTTTGTTCTCCAGGCGCAGTAGCGGGGTCTGTTGTATGTGCCGCAAATAGTGATAATATTCGAAATTCGATTCGACGTTGTATAGGTGTAGAGTTAAACCAATATATACTTTATGGGCAATACATATATATATATATATGTGTGTGTGTATACACTATTATACACCCTACCTATTTAACCATTGTCGTTATTATGTATGTGTGTGTGTATGTATGTGACGTATAAATAATGCATCAGTTTCGAGTGATTTTATTTAAATTACATACTCACAGTCCACACGTGAGTATCGGACAAGGCGATTCTATATTGTGTATATGTGTATAGACGCAGAACTATTAAGTAAAAGTTTTAATTTAATTTTTTTTTTTATACAAAATTGGCAGCAATTTAGCGAAACCGCTCGAACCGATTTATAATGTGAAATTCCTAATCATTTCTCATTAGTCATCGCGGGTTATTATATGTGAATTAACTCTCATCGGCCGACGACGATTAATTGGATTCGATTTGAATAACTGGTGGGTTTTTTTTGTAATGCTCGTGGAAAAAAAAAAAAGTAACATTGCCTCGATCTGGGAGCAAGGCCGTTTGAACGACAAGGGCAATGGGGCTTCGTCGGAATAATATCTCTTCGACCGGAAAAGCAGTCATACAGTCATTCTCCTCCCGATTTGAAAAATATTTGCAAGTTTGAAAATTCCGGTGCACTGTGTTTTTGCATCCCTTTCGGGGAGAGTCATTCATGCGACGGGGGGGGGGGCGCATTTTGGGAAAACTTAGGGCAAGACAGTACTGTATCAACCGGTTGTTGTTATCTCGGAAACCCCCCGGAAAAAAAATGCGTTACTCAGCTGGCATCGTCGTAATCAGCGATTTTATTGCCTACGACACGAGCTGTTATTACCACCGACACATTTCGTGTACGTTATTGAGTCGAGCGATTATATAGAAAAAATTAAAAAAAAAAAACAATATCGTGTACATTAATATATTATTACAACGAACGTCGACCTATATAGTAGTTGGTCGGCATAAGTGAGTATGTGTGTGTGGGAAAAAGACTAATAAAAAAGCCAAACGACATTTAAAAAAAAAAAAAAAACGATTACAGTAGCAGCTATAACACCCGGACAGAATTACTATCAAAAATAAAACACATATTATTTTTTTTTTGGTACAGGTAATCAGTGTATTATACTATGATAATATATGCACTTACATCGAGCATCCACGTGGCCACGACGCGCCTCATGAACGGCTGCAAGTTGGACCGAGACCGGGCCATGTAATCGAACCCGGGCACGTACTGCGATTCGGTCTCCAGCAGTTTTTTCACGGCCCTCTCGTCCCGGAATATGGTCCTGTCCTCGGCGAAACACTTGTCTTCCGACGCGGCCCGCGATTCCGTGCACATCAGGTTCATATCTTTTACTTGTGTAGTAAAAAACCCCAAAAAAAAAATTCAGCTCAGTCCAAAGTAACCCCGGGGGATAAAAAAAAAATACGTGATCTTTGTAATAATAATATTATGCCGGAAAAAAAACGACAACAAATCGAAATTATAACGCGACAAAATCGTTTTTTTGTACGATAACACACCGGTTGACGGGGCGACGTGCGCTCAGATGGGTGACCGCGCGAGACTACTGACTGATGCACTGATATGTGCATATGCCCGGCTACTGGCGTGCCGGTTCGGGCGGCGAGACAGCTGATCGAACGCGCGCCGTCCACACCGTTACACCGCGGTTGGGAAGGCGCCCGCGCGCGCGCACCCGAAAGATTCCCCCCCAAAAAAAAACCCTCCCCCCAGCCGTAGTAAGTACGGCCTGTCACACGTAATAAATTCTTTGACTTCTACGTCTTTTCGATGCCGTCTTCTCCACCTCCCCGCCCGCCAAACTCCACCCAGTATCGGCGCTACGAATTTAGCGAGGCCCTACGTTGTGCCCTCGAAGAAAAAAAACATTGAATCACAATCGTGTCCGATACCTGTTGTATGGGAAGGAATTTTTATAACAGATAAACCGCGCCCCGACACTTCAAATGTTTAATTAACTTAATCGTAAAACATTTTCTTTGTCAAAAGGGCCGATGAGCCATCGCACAGTGGTCTAAAATCAAAAAAAAGGTGGTCTGAAACCAAAATGGAAAAATGTAATTTTTGTGATCTTATTAACGCCTACCTGTTATGTTCTTATATTGTTTTTAAATCAAGGTTTATAAATACGACAAATACGTATACAACAAAAACAGACTCCAATTTTATTTAAATAATGACTATGATACATAATATACAGTACATACGTGAGAAAATTAGAAAAATTTAACACATTAAGCATATGATTTGTGTTAAATATAAAATATTAAAGATATATTATAAAAAAAAATCGTAAATTAGCAAACAAATTATTTTCGATTCTTCCAACTTCAACAAGTAAAATTTCAAATCAATATTTTGAATTCTAATTTTAATTTTCAGAGAACTTAAGTAGTATTGTAAGTTGTCACAATTTAAAAAAAAAATAATACATTTTTCCATTTTGTTTTTTTTGTTTTTTGGCCACCTTTTTTGATTTTAGACCGCTGTGCATCGGCTGGTAGTCATGTCCGATTTTATCAATTATCTCTTATGAACTGAATCTCCTCTCGTCTCCTACTCCTCCCCTATCAACTCTTTTCCTTGCAATCCTCTCGTCTCTTCTCGTGATGTTACAAAGTCCGGTTAGTTTAGGTCAAACGCGTGACATTGAATAAAAAGTTGATAAAGCTATGAAAAGTTGATAAAATAAGATATTTGTTAAATTCTTAGTTAGCCTGTTAGGTATACTAATAAATTTACATATAATTATTAATTTTACCCGATATTATGCATAGTGCATTTCGAAAACCGCTCTCATGAATGAAGAAGGTAACATTTTAAAACTTATATCAAATGGCAAATTCGAACTCGGCGGACTTCATATTTAAAATTTAGGAGATGTTGATTTCGATCGCTTTTTTTGAGAGTATCCATTTTCTATACAATTGTGAATTCAATGGACTAAGCCTTTCAAAATATAAAAAGAGAAAAAAAAACTATAGACACTATATGTACATTATACATAACATTATGCACAACATTATATTATAATATTGGAGCGGTCTAACTTAATACTGTATATAATATGTATCTGTAGACACTACTAGTAAATACTAGCACCCCTAGTAGATTATCACTTCACGCACACCAGTGTAAATACGAGTTCATCTTATAAAAATTAAACACACTAACAATATTCCAAGGAGACTGTCATTAATTACATTGCATTGGATCACGGCTTAAGGGGACGTCGCACCTCAAAATAGTAGCACCAAAATAGTATTTTTGTATTTCTAATGATATGAAGTATACAATGTACGCAGGGATATAAATTATAAATTGTTTGAAAGATGAGAACTTTAACTATGCTTTGTTGGAATTAGATTTTGAAAATTAGATTTAAATTTTAAGATAATTACATTTGAATAATTAAAAATATGCCCTTTCTTTATGCCATATTGTTCCACATCCAAACCAACTATCGAAAATTGGTTTCCAACGAAACATAGAAAAAGTTCTCACCTAGAACATTTATAATTGGGTTTTTTACTCTAAAACCACCCAGTAAGCCGTGTTTTTTGAATTAGAAAACTATGTTTAGATGAAAAAAATATTTAAAATCGATGACAAAGATGCTGCGATAGTCAGAAAAATAAATTAACTGCCTAAAAAGAATTTCTATAACTAATCAATTACAATTTAAGCTTTAAATTGAGATTTTGCACAAAATTGCCTATACCCAACTCCTTAATAAATAGCAGTACGACGTCCCCTTAACACGATTTTTTAATTTCTTCAAGGGGCTCCAGTTTTTTAACTAGAATTTATTATTCGTCAGAGGCAGCTGCCTTGGCCATTATGCCTTTCTGCCGCGATCTGACTTCGCCGGTACGGGGGCGCGTGTCTCGTTCGCCGGGAACGGACGCCTGCGGGATACTTTTGCACACACAAAGATTTAATACTGTTTGTCGAAAACGGCCTTTTGTTGAAAATGTATTATTATCCACACAATATGTATAATGATAGTGTCTTCTGGATTCTTAGACGGTGTAATATATATATATTTTTTTTGCGACATTTCCACGTGGTCCACCTCAGAGCCTATAGCCACCTGGTCGCCAAGACGTCTGCCGGTTGTCAATGTGTATTACATAGTATAGCTGTTTATCAATATAATAATCGGTTGGTGCACGTGCGCAATAAACAACAGGGCACGGTTAGGCCCAAAAGAAAAGGAAACATATTTTGGTACATTAACTCATTTCTGTAGTTTTTGTAGTTGGGAGTGTAAGGCGAAGATAAAGAAGAAGAAGAAGTTATATCGTTTTATGTGTACATATTTTTCATAATAAATTTGATTGCTTTTAAAACTTGTTTTCTTTATACTCTTACACAACTTTACACGGCTTACAAGATGCGCGCGTCGAGGAATGCACTGTCTGAGTAAATATAATGGATAATAATACATAAGGACTAACTATAACTTTATCGTTTCTACTTTATTGTTTGTTGTTGAGATTATTAAAGTATGTGATTTCAGTTTTTACCAGAAAACTTCTTTTGAGTGAAAGTGCATTGTATAATATTATGTTTTGTGCGAGGTGCAAAAGACAATCGAATTATAGTCTTTTGGCGGAAAACGGTAAGACTGATCTGCCATGGTCCTTATCAACCATGTCAAACATATTAATGTTACCGAATTTTCGAGCTATAATGAAACAATTATCAATTTTGGATTTGCAGTCCAAAGTGCAGCACACAAAATTATTAATTTTTAGTTATCACAATCAATGTATAATCTGTGTACTAAATAACACTTTACGCATCGTATAATTAATTATTAAAATATAGTAAAAAAAAATAAAATTGAATTAACAAATAAAATATAATTTTTTTCTATGAAATTTTACCTCTTTTTTTTCGGGGGGTTTTTCTAAGCGTTTTCATTAAAATACCAATTTGAAATTTACACATTTTTGTAAAATTTTCTCAGCTTAAAAGATATTAGACAAATTCTCAAATTTTGGACAACAAGAAAAAATTAACTTTCTAAATTATAAACTCAATATTAATGTGTTTCTGTTACGCGAAAAAAAAAATCAATACTTTTTTCAGAAATCAGTTTCTTATGTAAACAAATTACGGATTTAAGTATAGTTTAATATTATTATTATTATCTATTATTATTTATTAAATCATTGTATTAAATTAAAAGCCTTACCTTTACATTGTTTTGGTTTCCACATTACAAGTATATTTTATTCTCTCGCTGAGGCAGTTTTAATTTTGGTCGCAAAATAAGCATTGGTTTACTGTATTGTTACTATGCAAAATGTTTTAAGAAAGAGCAACAGAATTAGGTAAAATTGAGATTTGTAAAAATTAAAATTAAAACGGGAATTAAGCCTTTTTCTAACAACAATCGTTTTATAACTATTTCCTAAATTTGTTTTATTTTTATTAAATAAAATATATTTTGCTTTTAGACGTATTATATAAAAATCATATTTAAATAATCTGTAATAATTGACACCATTGATTATAAATATTGACCAAATGTTGTTGGGCATATATAGTGTAAAACGCATAAAACGATGCGTTACAAGTTTATCGGTATAGCAGTAAGAAATGAGATTTTCTCCTTGGTATTTAAGTAAAATATTTAAAACTTCTTGCACAATCAATATTTAACGATTATTTACAATTATTTTAAACATCCATAAACCAATAATATAATATGTTGATAGTTTGCTGTTTGCTGTTCCAAAAGCATCAAAAAGCTAAACTGGTTTGGATGGAAATATTTAAATGTTCTATTTTAAATGCGTACAAGTTAACCGATGGGGTTTTTAACAGAATTAACTAATCTGTACAATAATATGTGTTTCATATATTTATCTTTTTTTTTAACGTTGTCGTATCACTGATACAATAATATGTCGGTGTTTAACATATTACTGGGTATAGTGATTGAAATCTCAAGTACAATTTCGTAAAAAAACGATACGAGTAATTTACATTATATACCTGTGTCCCATTTAAGTGTATACTTTTACATTGACCTATGATTTAATGTTAATTAAATTTTATGATGCCAGGTAGTGTAGGTTTTTGTGATAACTGATAAATTTAATTATAGTGTATATGTATATCATATACATATGTATGTGTGTGTGTTAAACTGCAGCTATAATGATAAGTACAAACACGGATCAGCTGATGCTATTATGTACAATATACGTATTATTTTTTTAATAATTACTATTTTTTTAATTAAGTATTATTAAAAAATATTTTATCCGGGTGGGATAAAACCCAACATATTTGCAAATTATTTAAATAATCTATGTATTACCTTGAACAAATATATATATATATATATATTTATTAATCGTATATGATACATGAAAATATGTTACTATTAACAGGTCTCAGCTGATTTAGTTAAGTTACTAACTATGATCATAAACATACTCTCGACCACAGTTTTGTAAGGCCGAGTTCTTAAGGGGTTTTCATGCGGTTTGTTTTTAAGGAGTTTTTTAATTTT